GCCTTAAGAGTTCCCTTCACTGGAACTAAGGGGACAAGCCCAACGACTAAAAAACAACACCACACCATAATCCCCCCTCCACCAAACTTTACACTTGGCACAATGCAGTCAGGCAAGTACCGTACTCCTGGGAATCAGACACGTCTATCGGATTGCCAGACAGAGAATCGTGATTCATCACTCCAGAGAACACGTCTCCAATTCAGCTGCTCAGCCATGGAAACCCATTCCTTGAAGCTCTCTACGCACTGTTGTTGTGCCAACCTGAAGGCCACATGAAGTTTGGAGGTCTGTAGCTATTGACTCTGCAGGCAGTTGGTGACTTCTGCGCACTTCAGCATGCGCTGACCCTGCTCTGTCATTTTACGTGTCCTTCCACTTTGTGGCTGAGTTGCTTTGTTCCCAGTTGCTTCCACTTTGTTATACCACTAAGGCCCCATTCACACGTAGCGACATACCTTTTGCAGCGGCCGGGATAGCGCGACTTTCGGGGCGACGTTCCAGCGACGGTAGCGCGACCTTCTCCGTCGGGCTCCATTAGAAAAAAAGCAAAATCGTGCAAAATCCGCTGAAAAATGGGTCCTGTAGAAGGGACTTGCGACCGCGACGAGCGACATGGAGCTAAGACAGCTCCATTGAATATCATTAGCCGGCGACTTCACGCGATATCGCGCGGCAAAAATGCGCGATATCGCGCCGATAAATCGCTACGTGTGAATGGGGCCTAACAGTTGACCGTGGTAGCAAAGAAATTTCACGGAACACCTAAATCCAATGATTTGGAGGGGTGTCCCAATACTTTTGGCAACATAGTGTATTATTAGACATGTGCAAAGATAAAAAAATTGTTTCAGACGAAATGAACAGAAACTAAAAATTATTTAATTAGTTTCGTCAAACGAAACTAATTTTTATGCTATTTTGGGTTTGGCCACCAGCGCATTCTGCGCCGCGATCCTGGAGGTGGGGTGCATGACATCACATGATGCTGCGCGTCATCACAGGTCTGTTGGGGGAGAGGGCACAATTATCTGTTCTTGCCTCGGGCGCAAAAGGAGCTAGGTACGGCTCTGGTTGAATTATTGGGGTAGACTGTGGTGATGGGGTTGAATTATTGGGGTAGACCGTGGTGACGGGGTTGAATTATTGGGGCAGACTGTGGTGATGAGGTTGAACTATTGGGGTAGAATGTGGTGACATGGTTGAATTATTGGGGGTAGAATATGATTACATGGGTTGAATTATTGGCGTAGAATGTGGTGACAGGGTTGAATTATTGAGGTAGACTGTGCTGACAGGGTTGAATTATTTTGGTAGAATGTGCTGATGGGGTTGAATTATTGGGGTAGACTGTGGTGACAGGGTTGAATTATTGGGGTAGACTGTGGTGACAGGGTTGAATTATTGGGGTAGACTGTGGTGACAGGGCTGAATTATTGGGGTAGACTGTGGTGACAGGGTTAAATTATTGGGAGTGGAATGTGTTGACAGGTTTGATATATTGGGGGTAGAATGTGGGACAGGGATTCATTATTGAGGTAGACTGTGGTGACAGGTTTGAATTATTGGGGTAGAATGTGGGACAGGGATTCATTTTTGAGGTAGACTGTGGTGAAAGGGTTAAATTATTGGGAGTGGAATGTGTTGACAGGTTTGAATTATTGGGGGTAGAATGTGGGACAGGGATTCATTATTGGGGTAGACTGTGGTGGAAGGGTTGAATTATTGGGGTAGAATGTGGTGATGGTGTTGAATTAGTGGGGGTAGAATAGAATGTGGTGACAGGGTTTAAATATTGGGGTAGACAGTGGTGACAGGTTTGAATTATTGGGGGTAGAATGTGGTGACGGGGTTGAATTATTGGGGTAGACAGTGGTGACAGGGTCTCTTTTAACAGTTCCAGAATGAAATAGCAGCAGTGCGGCCGATCCCTGGAGGGCGTGGTCTCAGAAACCTAATTTTGAACATGCATAGCACGCCTCGCATTGCAGCACGTTGCACTGCGCTCTAGTGTAGGACACTAGCATCAGACTGCACGCCAAGACAGAAGACCTGAAATATGTCACTAACGGCCGTTTCCTTATAGCAGAAGACAACATGAGCATACACTGCGGCCTTTCCAGCTCCAGCCGCCAACAAATCTCGTTCGCTGTCACTGCCTAGCGCGCCTGACAGAGCGTCACGTGCGCCAATGCCCTCGGTGGGCGTGTCAGAAAATGCATCGTATACCACCGAGCTGGGCGTGGCCAGCCGCCTCTCACACGGCCCTGAGCGTGGTCCCGCCCCCTCCTCCAGCGGGCCCCCGGATGACGTCTCCTGGCTGGAGGTGCTGGCCTTCCTGGGCAAGCTGCTGGGCGCAGTCGCCGCGCTGAAAGCAGCAGAGTACCTGCTCCGTGCACTGTGTGCAGTCATGGCCTGGAAGTCAGGGGGAGCCAGCCATTCCGAACTGGTCGGCAACCTGCGCAGTGAGTGTGAGAGGAGCAGTGACATAATTTGACAGGACAGCAGCAAGTCTGTGTCGTATCATATTGGCAGGCGCAGTGGCAGGACCTGTGTAGATATTAGCACGTTTGTATAGGTGCATGGACATCATGCTGCAGAATGCATGGAGGTTGGATGTAATGAATACAGGTTGTCGTATGTGCTCGGCGTTCTAGTGTTTATTCAACGTAATTCCCCATTATGTTTATGGTGTATCGTGCTGAACTTTCTGGCTTCGGGTTGTTCTAGGTGGGCAGATTGCCATAGTGTTACAGTCATTTGGCCTTTGGGGCAGTAATTGTATACTGCAGGACATTACATTTAGGTCACTGTGTGAGAAGACATAGACCAGTGGACACCTATCTGAGGAAAAACAAAACTGGAGTTAATACAATAACACATGTGTATGTGACCACCTATCGGTCAGAGCTGCCACTGGGAAACATCTGACTGTATGCTGTAGAGCAGGGGTAAGCAACTCCGGAGAGCTACCTGAACAACATGGAAGAGATTAAAGATCGCCAGGAGCGTGTGCGGCGGAGTGCAGGAGCGTGTGCGGCGGAGTGCAGGAGCCAGGAGTGTGTGCGGTGGCTGAGTGCAGGAGCCAGAAGTGCAGTGAACAGTAGTAGTGTGCGTGGTGGAATGCAGGGGCCAGGTGTATGAAAAACAAGAGTGTAGGGGACAGTAGTCTGCAATGCAGAGTGCAAGGGTTGGAGATATGTAACTCCTAATGCAGGGGTAAGGAACATGTAACTCGGCGCAGGGGTTAGGAGTATGTAGTGCAGAGGTCAGGAGTAAATCACACCCACAAGCAAAAATACCACCTTTCCTGTGCAAACATCTACACACCCTAGAGCAGGGGTGCCCATTAGGTCGATCGCAATCTACCAGTCGATTGCACAGCTAACACTGGTAGATCGCGATCATAAGTCGGCTTGTTGTCCCGCCCACGGTGTTAGTGTGAATGAATGTTGCAGGCGCGGAGGAACAGGCTCTACACTACAAAAAAACCATTACCTCCTCACTGTCTTCCCTGTCCAATCACTTCACTGGGCGTCATTCTGGCAACCAGGAAGCAGACAGGTAGCTGTTTAGAGCTGAGGGTGTCTTCATGTACCCAGCCTGAGATGGATTTGTATTATTATGAACTATAATGCAAATATATCAGTGTAGCTATATCAACATATATGTAATCAGTAGCATGATATTGTCAGCGGAGCAGTCAGTTTGCAGCTAGCATTGTACTGGTTGAGAGATGGGGAAAAAAAGGCTGGTTGCTATGGGAAACACCCCAAACCCCTCCTACCTAGACCATGCCTTTTTAATATGGTCCTCGTCTTGTAGGGAGAGTATGGACTCAGTAGAAACTTAGAGGTCAGTTTTCTTGAAGCATAATGGATGTCTTTTGCAGCCTGTTATTTTGTTAAAGGGCTAGTTCACGCTTTCATAACCCCCTGCTGTACTTAGCTGCAAGGATGACCATTGCCTGCCTCCCAATTCAGCCCATAAAATTGTATTGACACTTAAAAACTTCACTACACAGCCCTGGAGGTTATGCAGCACCATAATGCTTGCAATGGTGCGCTATCATTGATCTATTTGACTGCCCTGACCAGTGAGAATCCTCTGTCATTCGCGAACGCCATTGCAAGCTACACAGCCTCTGGGACTGCATAAAGTTTTAAAGTTTTGGCACTGTTACATTAGCAGACAATGGATCCAACCAATAAACGCTTTGGACCATCATTTATTGCAGAGGTGCCCATTAGACAGCCAGAAGATAGAGCAGGGAGTGACAGCCAGGAGAACGAGGGAGGAGAGACAGTTTCTCCCAAACTGGCCATATTTTCTCATTCAGTCCCGTGGGCAAAATCCACCTAATGCAGCTTCTTGTACTGGGGTGGAAACAATGCTGCACTGCTCCTGAATTCAGAGCAGAGTTTCCACTCTTGCATAAGCTGCACTACAGTGGGGTGAGGAAATGTTGCAGAGGGCATGGCTATCCGCATTGTCACTGCTGATTCACAAGCTTTTAGCTTGTCAGCCAGCTCATGACCACAAGTAGTCCTGCCCTCTGCTTCTGGATTGACAGCACTCCTCTTTTGCTTAAACCCTCACACTGTGTGCTGCTCAGTCGGGAGGTAAAGGAAGTTTTTCATTGGCTTTATAAGGCTTGTGCATCACACAGTAACTGGAATGTGGCACTGTAGACTGCCACACAGAAGCCCTTAGTTATACTTTAATTGGACATTAAAAAAAAAAAAAAGAAATTGGCTTTTTTAAAATCACATCTATGATATAGTCTGTCACTAGCATTAAAGTGGACCTTTACCCCTTTCACTAAAAATCACATCAGCATGTAGCTCTGCATCCTGAATTAAAATCATAATTACATTAATTAGTTAAACAAACTTGTATTTCATTTACTTACGAATAGAGTTCATCTACTTTCTGGTCCACATCTGGCACAAATGATGTGCCAAAGTGTTGCATCCTGGGAAGGTTACATAAGCAGAGCATTGCCGGGAAATCTCATCTGTAATGTCACGAGATCTCAGGGAAAGGCATTTTCTTCCCCTGAGATGATATATATGGTCACATGTCTAGTCACGTGTACCAGAGATCCAGGAAGAAAAGGGCGATCTAGTCATCTGTCCTTAGGAAACATGGCCACTGTGAGAAGACTGGGGAGGAAAAGAGGAAACATTTATTTTGAGGCAGATTCCTAGTTTTGAATTTGAATATTTCAGCAAAAACTGTCCCTTTTTTCTTTTTAATTGGATTTTTATTTTATTTGTGCTTGAATTTCTCCTTTTAAGTGATATTGAACGCAGGCAGTAAACCTTAAAAATTCCCTATTAACAAAAAATGTTGTGTATCACTTGTTTGTAGATCCTGAAATCTTCTCTAAATTGATGCTGACACTGTATGAGTAAAGTTCCTCTTTAATCCTGCGGAGAACAGTGCACACGTACTGATGTTCATTGCAGTAGTATTCCAAGCCCAGGCCAGCATGATGAGTCCATACCCAGATAGCAAGAAATTGTGCTGCAAGTTTGAAAATGACTTGCTAAACTCTTGCAGACTTGCCAAGCTTCACAATTTTGTTGCACAATTACAGCAAGTTTGCATTGCAAGTCTCCAGACCAGCGAGCTTGCAGAGCTCTTGCTAAGACCTGCTGGACTCTTGCTGTAGACTTGCCAAGCAAATTTGCTACAAATTCAAAAAGTGTCAACTAGAACTTGTGCTGCAAGTGTTCTGCAAGTCTACAACTTGCCAGGAATATGTGCAGCAAGTTACCAAAATTACAATTTAACCCCGACACAAGTTTGTGGCAAGTTATCCTTGCTATCTGGGTACCAGCTTGGGTTAAGGGGAAGCTTGTTGAAAAAAACTTACTTTAGGGGTTAGCGCTGGATTGAGCATGTGATCTAGGGCTACAGCGAACGATTATTTTCATAATTGATTAGTTAGCCGATTATTAAGTTTGGTTAATCGGATAGAAATAGTAAGAAATGGCTCCCGTGATGGAGTTCTAGTTTGTTTTGAGATTGTAGTCTATCATGGGAGTGAGTTTGGAGTGGTGACCACTTTACAACACACACACAGGGACCATGGGGAACAAAAGTAGCCTCCCTCAAGAAGGAAGGACACTATCGGCACAAATTCAGGGATGTTTCAGGATTTACAGCCCAGTGATACACAAATAAGATACATTTTTGTTATTAGGTAAAGTACCTGAATGCATTTTTAGGATTGAACTCCTGAGTTTAGTGTCAGTTGAACAAACTGAGTATTACAAACTGCAGGTGCAGAATAAAAAACTAAAATAAAACGTTTGTGTACACATTTTTAAAAATCAGAACAAGAAAAAACACATTGCGAAAAGAAGTGGACTGTCACTATTCCAAAAACTTTGCATTGGAATGTAAAAATGTTAGCATGTCCACATGCTCGGGGCTCTCTTTTTACATGTTGCCTGCAGCAGAGAAGAGGTGCTCTGATGGTGTGGAGGTAGCTGGGATACACAAGTAGGATTTCACAACTTTTGCCAAAGTAGGATATTTCTCTTGGTTAGCCTTCCACCAATTCAAAGGGTTTCCTTCCTTGGCAAGGGGTCACTCTGCAAAATTTGTCTGGACTTAATTTCTAATTTGACCATGAATATCTTCATCCTCCTCTTGCCCCTCTTTAGTCTCCTCTTCACTGCTGCCTCCAGACTCAAGGAGTGATGCTGCAGATGTTGAGGGCTTAGCAACTCTTGCAGGTGAAGTGGTTGTTTGCTCCCCTATCTCCCTTCTTATTGCAAGCGCCTCTGCCAGCACTTTTGAATGTACAGCAATAATTTGGACTAGCGTTAAATATTTCAGTCTTCTGAATGTTGGGTCCAGGGCAGAAGCAAGAATTACGGTGTTTGGGATCTGTTCAGAAAGGATTCCCTTCCATCTGCTTTGAAGCTGGGCTGCTGCAGTGGCTTGGAAGCTCTTCAGCGCATGTGACTCGAAAGAAGCACCCTCAGTGGACCGCCACAGCCCCTTCACTAGTGCAGGCACGGAAGACAGAGTGATAGTCTTGGCCACTCATCAATACGGTAGCAGACTCAAAGGGCTGGAGAGCAGTTGAGAGCTCTTTGAGAATACTCCAGTGGTTTGCTTTTAAAGGAGAACTATGGGGTGTGGGCTTAAACTAACTAGCGTCCTCCCGTCACCCAAAGCTCAGTATACTGAGACGCCGCAGCCGGAACGGATCCCGACAATTATGTCTTTATCCACCTTTACTTTTTTAACTGCCTCCTGGTACTTCCTCTCCACTAGTTTGGTGAAATGAGTCCTTGAGGGAATCATATATCCAGGGTTTAGTACGCCGATCAGGTTTTTAAATCCGTGATCTTCGACCATGGAAATTGGCCGCATGTCGGCGACGATCATTTGCAGAATCGAATCTGTTATCACTGCTGCTTATTTTGGAGTGCACACGGTACTT